TCTTTGCCATTGTTGAGGCGCGGCACGCATTATACTCCTATTCATAATCGAGGGGGGGGGGGCGTATTGTATGCGACGTAGCCTATACAATGACTTGGGGAGGTCAGCGATGTTCAAGTCAGTGTTGTTATCCCCTCAGAAGAATCAGATAAGAATTTACCGTCCAATTTGACCGATGGAGCCGATCCGGGAAACGACCGCCGGACCATGCGCGTGGCATGCATGCGTGCACTACCTGCGCATCAGTGAGCGTAAAAGGAATGCCCAGAAGGGGGGGGGGGAACCTTGGGAATGGCGTTCCTGAGCGGTGAAAAAAGTGGGACAGTAAGGTGAGGAGCACAAAAATGACACCCCAAGGTGAGATGGAAAACGGGGATAGTGAGGTAATGAGCATAAAGTCAGGTGAAGAAATCGACTGGATTGCTTCTCTTATATGATTTCGTGCGTAAAGGGGCGAAATTTGCCAATGAAACATGATACGGTGGAATACCGCCTATTGAGTAGATTGTCACGTTCGCCGTAGGGCAACTCTTCCAGCAAATCATTCCAGTATTCACTATCATACAGAATTTCGAATGTTTGCTTTTCACTCTACAATATTCCACGGGGTTCTTCGATCATTTAGATGTCCCAAACAAGCCCTACGTAGAACGATTACATCCAAGTTATACTTCAACCAAGGATTACGGAGGGGTGGATGTTTTGGCTGAGCAGAGGTCGGTTCCGAAGGTCGCTTCAGTAAGAGGCGCCTGAAGCGCTTCCAATGGCACAAATTGCTGCTATTTACGATTTATGGCGCATCCATTCCAGAATATCGTGTTTACATGCGCATATATCGGTACGCTCCTACTGAATGACTGGTAAACAGCTCTAGTGCATGAGAAAGCAGCGTTATTATGTGTGAGAACCCGTGAGTAGGTTGGCCCTTGAATGCCCTTTTTATTTTTGGAAACATCTGGAAAATGTGAGATTTAGATGATCTACGGAGATGTTCCCCAGTTTCTCTCTTGCTGTAACCTCGGCATCGTTGTATAATTAGTTATTACTGCTATGCCTCTCGAGGTTTTCAGGTTGAATATTTATTGAAGGCCTTTGAAGAAGGACGACCAAGTCGAAACGTCAGAGGTTGAATAAATATCCCACCTGAAAACCTCGAAAACCCCTGAAAATCACGAATCTACGGAAACTTCTGGTCGTTTTTCAAACCCGAGAGAGGTCTAAGTTGACACCCTGTCAGAAGTATTATGAAACAGTGTGAAGACGGCTTTGAGAAAAAAGTGACAAGGGGGGGAGGGGGGGGGGAAAATAAAGATTGAGCAGATCCGTTTCGTTGTTCGTGTAAAAACCCAACGGCTTGAATGTTTAACTTTACACTAGCCTACTTGTACTTCTTAAAGGCAGGCAGTTCGCGACTGCAAAAATTGCGGGAAATGAAACCAAATAGGCGCAGCACAAAAAAGTGCTAAGTATCTGATTAGCGGAGAAAAGCAGCAGAAAAAAGCAGTCCGAAATGGTTATAGAGAAAGATAACATAGTGGCTACTAGCTAGTAGCTAGAGAAACATAGTGGCTACTAGCTAGTAGCTAGCAGCCGGTGAGGGTCGGCATGGGCCTAAGGGGTGTCCATGGGCCTAATTAGTCCAGCTTCTAGCGGAGTTCTTGCCGTTTTTCACATTTTGAAAGTAGGCGCTAGACCTGCAAAATGCGGCCCTTCCCCGGATCGTCCGAGCAACATTTGAGAGGTCATAGCCATTATTTTATGCGCGGAAATGTGGCCTTTAAGCCATGCGAAGGTTACCGTAAATGGGACGAAAAACTGTAACAAGTTTCTATCAGTAAAGGTGATAATGAATGTCCGGCAGAAAAAAGCTGGATGGTCCTCTACTAGCAGCCGCCAGCGCCTACTGCAGTCCGCATTCACAAAAGGCTCACGTGGAGAGGATACTTGATCTAAAGTGCAGCGTTATGTTATGCGAGCAATTAAGCTACTTGTAGGTCTGTAAATCAGGCATTCCTTGGTGATATACGTTCGGAGCTGCTGCGTTGACATCAACCAACCGTAAAAAACAAAAGAACTTGAAAGACTTGTCAAGCCTTCTGCTTACGGTTCAATGTAACCGAATATCTAAACGATTACCGGCTGGACCGGCGCGCAGCGCATATTAGTTGAGTACTGTGGAGGCTAACTAACGGCGCAAAAGCCAAGTAAGCTGAAGAGCGGCAAAGAGTGGCTCTAGTGGTGGTAACGAATCGAATCGAGAAGCGAAGCGAAACGTTCGCACCAGGATCGTAAAGGTTGCGAGTTCGAGTCCGCCTTGGTTTCAAGGCCTTTCGCCCAGATCAGCACTCTTAGGTACTCTCGAGGCGCCGCTCGATTTATTCCAGGCCCCTGGAAAAGGATAGCATTCAAACGAAGCAAAATAGCGACGACGGCAAATTACTCTACGGTGAATCGATTTTCCTACCGCCTACACTAATACATGTTCTGGGTTCTATTCAACGGACCTACTGCCTTTTGATAGGCCATGTAAAACTCGTAAAGTGACAACTATTTCATCTGCAAGTTTTGCTCCAAGTTTTTTTATTTATGGGCTGCTGCTTGTTTTTATTGCCTGTACTGCTAAAACGACAACAATGGGAAATGCCTACACAAAAAAAAATCGGTAATGCATTTTTTTCTACTAGTCTTAAGAAGATGGTAGAAAAAATACTGTATGAAAATGAAACTTCCGACCCTGAATGGCAAAGTTCAAGAAGAGTTCCGATACAAAATTTCATTTATCAGAGGGTATTGAAAAATTAGTTTCCCGAGCCAAGTTTTTCGAGGTTATAGGGACGCACCAGTGGAAAATAAAATTTAATTCAAAATTACCCTGCTTTTTTCCTACATACCTTCACCGAGAACACATTGAACTCCCCTGTTGGCCTTTCCTCATCATGAACATCAGGGACATTGGCCGCGGTAAATTTATATCCAAATACTGAAAATCGCACTTTTCCTTTGCCAGCTTCTTGGAGGTAATCGCATATAATCAGAGGTACGAAATTAGTTGGAGTCCAATGAGTGAACATTAATTCACACCTGGATGAAAGAGGAAACCTTCGGAGCGCTTGTTGTGACTGCCTCTTTACAGGGCGAGTATAGCTTAGGTGCCAGAGGCTACCCGCAACTATTCAATGAGATTTCTTTCTTGCTGGAGAGTTCATTTTGGGAGTTGATCATTCGGGAAATCCATCTTCACTTCTTGCCAACTCTGTACATTAGATTGGAAGCCTCTGGCGACTCACTGCACACGCAATCAGATGTCCCTGCTGAATTTGACACAAAGGAGAGTATGTGACGCATACGACGCGGAAGTTGAACCCATGAACCCTTATCCTTCTTTTTTGTTACCGAATCTAACTGAAATCACAGAGCACTAGAGTTCAGCTTGACATGTAAGGTCGAGCCATGAAAAATAAACTGGGCGTTAATGAACGTCGTTCAAAGGTGGCGTCACCTTGTCACGACCCTTAAAGGAGCGGTCCGCGGATGACCTATGAAAAAGCAAGAGCTTATGTGGGAAGGTAGTGCGGTTCGGGAGTGGACAACCCTGTGCCAGTTTCGCGGCGGAAAGTTGTACGGTAAAGGGATTAAGGCGCAAAGTTGCTTCAGTGGTACATCCCTTTTTCCAGTGACTCCGCCTTCAGAATCCGCCCCCAAAGTCGGCCTTCCAGCCAAAGGTGATGCTCCAGGGTAAGTATCATGTATTGGATGCATCCACTATCTTTTGTAGAGTCATTGGGTTCATTACTGGGAAATCAGCGACGGGAATGGCCCCAGCCGCGTGGTCTCTCGTCTTTTACGCTCTACAGTTTTTGAAGTAGAAAGGAGGCGCTTTTGACGAATGCGTGTCCAACGTTCCCTTTGGCATTTTCTCTTCATAGATGGTTCACTTGGCGAATTTTATCCCACATTTCTGCAAAATCATCTAGGCCTCTTATCGCGGACCGTGCCCCCTTTTTAAGAACTGTGGTGGAGTGCTTGACGTCGTTTACAGAGGAACATCCTGTGAATATTCCACAACAGATCTCCATTTACCTTGCCACCCTGTGCCAAACAATTATGATGATGCACTCTACGAGCGAACTATCTTCCTCCCTCTTTGTATAGCCCAGCAGAACATCCAAAACCCTGAGAACTACAAAATACGCGTTTTTTCCATAGTATCAGTTCTCATAAAAAAATTTTCTGCACCAAGACATTGAATTCATCGGCCATCTCCGAAACTCTTGCGCAAACGCACTCTCGCACCTCCTGCTTTGGAGGGGATAATAAAGGACAAAAAATTCGTGGTTGATGTGCGTTTCTTTCAGGGACAATGGAACGCTGAATTCCAACTTCCATTCAAAATCGTAGTGGCTTATACAATGACTCGAGGGGCCAACCCATGTATGTTTAAGTCACCCTTGTTATCCTATTGTACCAATTAGCCGTCTCCAGAGGGTCTGGTTGGCCTGGGAGGGAACCGGTGCCTCCTGAACATAGTCGAAAATCCTCATGTTCTGGAGCCAGTAATCCTCATGTTCTGACCCACAACCGTTTCTCGCACCTCTCAACATTAGAGTAAAAATTGGAGAAATTTCGGACATAGGAAACTGGTACCATTTCATTGGTTTGCAGAAATTACGAGGCTTCACAAAATTGCTCAGCTTGTTGACATGAGTTTAGCAAGTGCCCCGCTGCCTCCCCCCCCCCCCCCGTAGATTGATGCTGCAGAACCATTTTATTCAGGTACTAATGCTGAGAGAGCGCGTAATCCCAGGCGGTTCGGAGTCAGTTGTCATAAAATAGGTACTTCAAGATTTTTTAGGGCCGCCGTTATTCAATGCATAATTTGAATTTTTTTGAGAAAGATTATTGCAGGTTGCTAATATATTGTTGAGACAAAAACATGAAGAAAATACCTAAAGAAATATTAGACAGAATAATAATTAGGAAACGGAGAATCGACACAAATATTAAAGCTCACCGGAATGTTTGGTCCAGTACGTACGGGCCCTGCCTTTCAGCTCTAACAATATTTCGTTTACCTTCTTCGGTTCGGCAATTTCAATGATAACCTAAAATTGGTGCTTTTGTCAATAATACGATTCGGCATTATTCAACTACTACTGCCTCAGTCCTCTGAACACCAGACAGTTTTTGACCGACTTTCTTGTAAGGGGGCAGATTTAATCTTGGAGACTCTGTTACTAGGGTTCAACCTTCCTGAACACGATTAAATCACAATTCAGCGCCTCGACCTAGAACTGCAGGCAGCGCGGGTGCCAAAGGATACCCTAGGTCGCCAAAATCCGCTGAAAACCTTGCATACGGGCTTTGGACATTTGAGAGCATCCTGATTACGAATATGATTTCTTCTCTCTTAGGCGCTGGCGCTTTATGAAGGACACATACGATTGCAGTCTGCCGCTCGCCATGGCTAAGCTCCGACTCAAGGGAATTACTTCTTCTTCCAGGCACACCCTTAGCAGAGCGCTGAATGGCGCTGGGGCCGAGGAATGAATGCCATAGCCTTGATCCGACCCTATTAGCAAGTTTTAATTCGATTTTAATGAATAATGGGTGTAGCGTCCTAAACTGGCGCCTAATGGCTTGCCAAAATGCGCTAGGGGCTAAAAATGAATGTTATATTCGTGATCGCGGTACCGAATAACTCTACTGTGCGAGTTTACACCAATTTTGATGAGAAAAGTGGTGGCGTCGAATCGGCGTGTAGTGGCGCCAAATTGCGCCATGGTCTAATTTCGTACTCGTGATCAGAAAAATGAATTACTCATATGGGCGAAGTTTCACCAAAAAATTTTTCTCGAGTTTTTGGGGTAGTAATACTTGAGTAGTGCCAACAAAATTCATACTACTAAAATTCAATTTCGGACGATGCTGATAATGCTGAAAGCCAAGTAACTTTCTGCTGTTCCTTAGGAAATATTTTACATTCTTCTGCATATGCTCGGCACAAAATTGAAAACCCACAAAAACGCTTGAAAGGCGAAGAATCCCGTTGAAATATGTTTCCTGCAAGAATTGATGGCAGTTCCATCTTGTTTTATTGCCATCTAATTTCCATTCTGCTAGAATCCCAGGTTCTCAGCCGAAAATCAGCCTAGTTCATCTTCGCCCTTGAAGGGCATGGTCCCGCGATCAAAGGGATAGAAGTGAAAATTATGTGTGACGAACAGAGGGAGTGTGGTCAGGCGACGAAAGAGCCTTGCACTGGCTGCGCGGTAAAAAATCGCAAGCGGGGGCGCTATAACGTAATATAGGTTCAGTGGCGCCTCCTTCTTTCCAGTGACTCCGCCCCCAGACTCCACCTTTGGGGCCCGCCTTTCACTAAGAAACGAAACTGCAAGAGGAGACGGCATGAAAACTGTCACTTGTGCGGTCGTGTTGTTCTCGGAACGGGGAACCAGCTGTGCAGATGGGGCGTTGTTGAAGATGGAGTTGATGGGCACGTAGAAACTGGGGTCGAAATGGGGTTCTATCTAGGGCAGTTGGCGTGTTTTTTTTTTACTTTTTTCACTATCAAATGTCAATCAGGAACTTTGTCTCTGTAATCAAACTCGCCTAATACACTTATCTGTGAATGGCGGAAATGACCGCGAAGCTTTGCCTTCAACTGGCCACTTACCTTTCCAGTGACTTCTTGACCAGCGAAATAAGCGTTTTCTGGGTTGCTCAGCACAATATCGAATCGATCGAGTTTTCCCATATTAATAGAGATCAATGAAGGAAAGACTTAGGAATGAGACATCGAAGCAGCTGTGCGCTCAAGTGGAGACTGAGAAGAGCTCCTGAAATCGTCTTGAAGCTTGTTAACAGAAAGATGAAAAGCTCATTGTAAAAAGTGCGCGGAAAGTGGCGAAGTATAAAAAACTCGGATGAGAGGCTAGAGTAGCAGAAGAAGAAAATTGAATCAGCGGCTCAGAAACCGTTTAGACGAGCCGAGGCGTTGATAGCCGATAGCTGAAGAGAGAGCCTCTCAGCAGAGGTTCCAGAACTGCACGTCGTTGGAACCAATGCAGATGAGAGCGTCGTGTATTTATATGAGTAGGCACGAGATTAAATGCCCAGCAATCCACTTGAGAGACGTTGCCACTTTACTTCACTCCCCTCAATTGCAACAATTCAAGAGTGAAAAAGTTTATTGCTTCACGAGGGGTGTTCAATAAATTCTCGGTATAGGTATGAAGAAAAAGACAGAAAATTCCGAATGAATTTATTTTTCAAGTTAGTCTCCTCTATCCTCATAACAGTTGCTTGCTCGAGAAACGCAAACCATTCCGAATACGCCTGAAAAATATTTTTCCTCAACTAGGTCCCCAAAAATAAGCGAATTGCCGCCTTCAGGCTTAATCAATTCGTCAGAAAAGAAAACCGCTATCCACGGAGATTTTTCTTCTGAGTTGGGGAAAATCACTGTTCACTTTCTCAATTTTCTTATCATATTTCTCTCAATATTTTTGATCAGTAATCATTTTCTCCGGTTTTCTTGTCGCATCAGTCATTTTGGTTTTCTTCCACCAAGGAATAACCAAAATAATTGACGAATAAAAAGGTAAGGACAAGTTTCGCCGTTTGATGAAATACCTTTGCGAATGCGGCACGTTTTCTGATTCCATTCAGAGCCATAGTGGCTTATCGAATGCGAAGTGACCTATACAATGACTTGCGGTGGCCAGCCGATAGTACAGATCTATGTTGCTTATCCTCCAGACAAATTTGGTAGGCAATATAGTCGTCCCAGACGACCTTCCTTGTCTAGAGCGAGAATATCGCACACGGGATTTAGAACGCCAGCAAACACACCGAGTAATAAGCCGCACTACCTGTCACTAACACCCCACTTCCGGCCATTGATAACTAAAACTAAATTAAAAAATTTGGTCTATTGCACACCCTAAGAGTAGTGGTTGAGCGTCGTTGCCCTATTGATATAAACTCCAAGTTCTTTCGTCATTGCTCTAAGTTATCCTGGCGTGCCGGTAGTATTTTGAACGGCACTCGTAACCCCCTTCAACGTCATTGTGTGCCTTTCAGACACAAGTAAAGAAATTCTGGAAGCATTGAAAAGACACAGGTCGGTTCGGTGGGGGCATTCTGCTGTTTCCATCTTTCACTACCGATGCCTCCTGTAAAGAAAATTTCTGTAAAGCTACGCAATAGCATGATCTTCGTCTACACTTGATGGGAGTCTACAGGTTTTACCAATATGAGACGTGTGGTTTAGCATCACCTATCAAGATGAACTGGCGGATGGGCAACACGGCGCAATACGCCGCTCCTGCCTCCAGGCCTAAACAGCGCCTCTCAGAAGAATCTGGCCCAGTTTTTTGATAGGCTGGAGGACTGTATGAAACTAACGTCTTGGAGGAAGAAATCTCCCCCCCCCCCCCTCTTTGGCGGAAAAGACGCGACCCACAATGATTATTCTTTTATCAACCAAGATTAAGCTGAAAACCAGCCAAACAGCACCAGCACAATAAGTGCCCCTCCATCTTTTTTCCTGCTTTTCCTTTCGCGCTTTTTCTTGTTTGCTCTTATCTGAATGATCCATACTATTTAGGAAACTGTACGGGAGGACGCACAGCAGGAGACAGAAAGTAGGCAGAAAGAATAAAAAAAGCAGTTGCTGGGTTTTCCGCGAGCGACGTACGTCGGCGTAGCATCTCAAGCGCTGACCGATTCGCTGTTACCCCCAGGAATATAGCTGTGATTAAGTTAAATAATCTATGCACTTGAAGACGCATCGTGCTACAAACAGTTCTCAAGTGGATAAAAAGAGTTACAGTAGTAGAACATCAAAACAAAATTGCAGGATGCGGAACCAGACAATTCTATCCAAATATGGACCTAGATGAGGAGCTGCGATGGTAAAGGGAGAGGAGAATTTGCCATTCATGCTCAAGCATCCATGTCATGCTACTTGTCCGATTTTAGCTGGAATGCGGACTCTGAATGTGGAGTCTGGAGGCGGAGACACTGGAAGGGGGAGGGGTCACCTGATCAATTTTGCGCCTTAACCCTTGCCTCTAACTAAGTCTTCCGCCGCGAAATTGGAACAGGGTGTCCATCGAGGGTCACACTACCCTTTCCACACAAACTTTTGCATTTTCCTAGGTCATCGTGAACCGTTCCTTCAATGTACTGAGTGGAATATATAAAAAGGGCTCATTTTTTCAGCTCGAGCATTAGAAAGCGCGGACATGCTCCGCCATCCTTCATCTGCTGACATAATCATGAAAGTCGATGACATCAAGAAGAGGTTTACTACAATCGTACGCCCAGATAGTGGCAACAAGTATTTGAATGATCTCGAAATCACGTGGGTAAAAAGAATGGAGCAGGTCTCACCTTCAGAAGCTCTACGAGAATTTTTCCTCTCGAAAAATGAACATGTGATCCCTTTGGCGCATGATCTAGACGGTCTTTTCACTGCGGCGACTGATTTACAAGCAAAGGGATGAACATCGTATTGCGGCAGAAGGGCGATGGTACGCTTAGAACTGGACAGAATGACAACTACGTCGCGGAGAGAATGTCAGGAAAACAAAGCAGCGACGGGATGGTAGCGGTTCTTGAACAAAGTCCTTGGCAGCTTTGTCTCATCGCGAGCCGGCTCAACGTTCAAGATACGGTAATGCTCTCGCTTCCATGCTGGAACGTTTAAAAGACTATTTCGCGTCATTATCGACGGAAAAAGTGAACAATTGTTCCAGTGCTGCCGGAAAAGAGGTGTTTGAAAAACTGATAAGAGGTATGGTCAGTCAAGGAAAACTACTTGCATGAACATGCTTGCCTACGAGGTTAACCTCATTTTCAGGAGGGGTGAGCTGGCCTGCAGCTACAGAAAAGTACCACTATCGTCACTTGGAAGTTCTCTTATGTCTCCGCCATCGATACTACAGCTACAAGACTACACAATTTAGGCATGCTGCTTCACATTGAGCTTCTCCTAGCCGTAGTATTAAGTATCCTGATTGAGTCAGAATGACGATGTTCAACGTCTTTTGTGCAACGCTGTCAGATGCCTTTTTGTGAAAAAGAAGAGACTTTGCACTCGAGTTACGGGAACTCATTGCCTGTGACATGACCCGTCGTTACTAACATAATTCTGTTCTGATCGTTATGACTTATTTTGACGTGCACGCCCATTTTAAGGCGGAGGTGGAGTAGTGGCAAGTGCACGCTTACCCCGCGCGTGTTCTGATCCCGGATCGGCTTTCGCCCAGCCCAACCGAACCCTCTACCACCCGAGGACGGTCTGGTAGGAGAACAGCACTGACTTGTACATCGGACCTGGCGAAATATAGAGCACCCGGGTATCACTACCGTCCAGCCTCGTTTCTGCGCATTTTTTGAGCGGGAAAGCGACGCGCTTCTGTGTGGACCCATTCGCCTCCATTGCGGCAAGGACCAGGATTCACGGAAATGAGGGAGCTTTTTGTCTACGGACTTTATCAAGGAAAGCATAGTGTATGGAACGCGAAATAGTTGCGCACATAGGAGGGCCGTTCAGACTATTCCCAGTATCGTGGTAATTTAGCAGTGACGGAGGACATTAAATGATCCCCATGGGTAACGACATCCCTGAGGGTATATAATACAAAATTTCATTTAGTTATCATCAGTGCTCATTCTAGTTACCCCTTGGTGAAAGAAAGACCAAAATGACTGATGCGACAATGTTGAGAAAATGATTATATTAAAGAAAACTGAGAAAAGTGAAAAGAAATTGAGAAAATGAAAAGAAAATTCAGAGAATGATTAGTGATTACTTCTTGTTCCACAACCTAAAAAGAGGATTTTCGTGGAAAGCGTTTTTCTGACGATGAAGAGCTGAAGGCGGCAATTAATGCACATTTTGGGAACAAGGGGAGAGGAAAGAAATATTTTCAGAGAGTGAAAAGTTGAAAAGTGAGTGCTGAAAAGTTAGTTTCCCTAGCAAATAAGTGTATTGAGGTTATGAGGGACTACATCGGAAATACATTTTATTCAGAATTTACTGCCTTTTCCCCCTTACCCATACCGAGAATACATTGAACACGCCTCGCAGTCACCACTAAATGATTACAATGAGCTATGACATTCATGAATTTATAACGACATGTAAAAATTAGTACACGAATAGTGTAGTGAACAGCTGCAACTGAAAGTAGACAGAAAGGAACTGACCTGAGTAGGAAAAACTGAAATTTTACGAAACAAGTCTTACTAAGGGCTGAGTTCCAACTCCCGGTGAGGGATCATAGTGGATAGCAAGCAATTTGCCGTCACGAAGCCGTTTCTGGCGCTAGCCATACTATCCTACCTCTGTAAGCTACGTGGGGCGCGAGCGCGTAAATAAGGCCGTAGTCGCCAAAAGTAAAGGAGAGGCACTGCAGTTCAAATCAAAGAGTGATTCCCTTTTTCAGGAGACCATGTGACTATGGCAAAGCTCCGATATGGCAAGTGATTCATGTGCCTAGGCCTTTACCAACTCAACTAATTGGTAGAAGACTTGTGCCGCAGCAGATGAACCCTTCACTAAATGCCTCATGCTTTCTGAATGCATAATTTGAAATGGACACGCCCTCTATTTCACAGACTAGAAGATGAGCTCGATGTGATCCAAAAGGAGTCATACTTATCGCTCTGCCCACTTTGGTATCAGTTGTGAGTGGTCGAATTCTTTCGAAGGTTCCGTTCGGTGATTCCACGAAATGGCAGTGG